TTTTTTCATTTAATCCTTTGAAGATCATCATTACGTTAACACAACGATTTCTTTGATCCCAAAGGGTTCACTTCAAATATTTCCTACTCTAAATTCTACAATTTAATGAAATTTCAAGATATTTAAATGCATGTAACGATCAGATATCGCTTCGTCCTTAATAAATAATAACTCAAAAATATAGGCATTTTAAGAAATAAAACCTGCGTGGTGTCGATCATGTGATTCGTCGTCGCCAACTCATCACTGAGACAGAGAGAATTGCTTTGGATACCGGAAGTGTCTTTGAACAGACTCGTTTCAGAATGACCAGAGTTGCGTGTCCTCAACTTGTCGCAGCTTTGCCACGTGTCGTTCAATCTTTCGTAAATCGATCTCTTGCTGAACGAATGATCGGACATGTCTAGGCTCTCCGAATGACTCGACACATCTTCCTTTTTCGTTTCGTCTTCATCGCCAATCGTCCCTTTATTAACGTTGTAGACACGTTCGTATTTCCTCCAACGATGCAGGTCGATCGTCGGCACCACGATCTCTTTCCGATTGGGATTCATGAGAGCTTTCAGTTGCATTGCACCTGAACGAGCAGAATATAAATCCAATTATACTCGACGAACTCGGTTTAATCGAGTTCAATTTAATTAACAATTAATTTACAATTAGTTTGCTGCCTCCGCTATTTGAATTTCTTTAAATCTCGGCGTTAAAAGCAGTTTGGAAATGAAACGATTAAATAATTTATTTCAGAAGCTAGTAGTACGATCGTTTCCGAGGATATGTTATTTTTGTGTGTTCTGTGTGTCGTCGGACAAAAGCAACGCCTGTCATTAATTTCAGTTTAAATTTCAAAAGAGAGTATCTCGAAACAGGCCGATGTATGATATTTTATCCGATTCAAAGCGTGTCGTGAAATTCCCGAGATTCTTTTCTTCCCTGGAGGGGCTACGTGTCCGATGTACGAACGTGAAGCAAGTTTAAGAGTACAGGCGTTGAAACGAAAGTACGTCTAACGAGCACGAAGCGAGCCGATTTCACATATTGGTAAACCGCGAAACTTTACTAGGTCAGGCACAATAGTCGGGTTATATTCAAGTTAGCTGATGGCGATCCGC